AACCCTGCAGCCCAATGGTATCAATGTGGATTTCACAAGCTTCAAAATCTCCCCTCCCCCTACCGCATCCCAAAACCAGTCCAGCTCGTCCCCGCCTCCCTAACCTGTTCTTCCTCCCACCTATCCCCTCCTCCCACCTCAAGCCGCACCCCCATCTCCTACCGACTAACCTCATCCTGCCCCCTTGACCTGTCCGTCCTCCCTGGACTGACCTATCCCCTCCCTAACTCCCCACCTACACTCACCTTTACTGGCCCCATCCCCACCTCTTCGACCTGTTTGTTTCCTCTCCACCTATCCTCTCCTCTATCCATCTTCTATCCGCCTCCCACTCTCTCCCTATTTATTTCAGAACCCCCTTCCCCTCCCCCTTTTCTGATGAAGGGTCCAGGCCCGAAACGTCAGCCTTTCTGCTCCTATGATGCTGCTTGGCCTGCTGTGTTCACCCAGCCCTGCACCTTGTTGTCTCGGATTCTCCAGCATCTGCAGTTCCTACTATCTCTGAAAATTATCCTTGTTATCTTGTGGGTTCATGTCCTGGATCACTGTGAAAAATCAGGACTTTAAACACACTGGGATCTACATTCCAAAACATGTTTCTTAGCAGAGGATTGATACAGCCAAAAATGGCTACAGATTTAAAATAAGTGTTTCTCTGGATAGAGAGAGATGCCAAACCTTGGAACATCATATCTATGGATGCAAAGGGAACTTCAAACCACAGGCCTTCAAAAGGTGGGGAAATGCAAATCAAAACAAACTGGACCATGATCTTAGGAGACTACAAAGATAATGAAGGGCCGATGATCCCCTGCTCAAAAGCAAGCCAATCCTCTGCAAATTCTGCCCCAAACTGCAGACACATGCTTTTCCTTTTGAAGGAAACACAAGGACAGGGATTAAAAAGCCAGTGTGATGATGGGAGTGAACATTCTAGTGTATACCAGCCTGAGTTTGAGTGTGAGTGGGCTGTGAAGGTTATAGTTGAAGCACTATTCTGTAATTACCCCTACGTTATGGGTAAAGACTCTCTAGTCTGAGTGCTAGAGGCAGGCAGCTCGCAGCCAAATGAAAGGAAGTAGGACAAACAAAGGATGCCCTCTGAAACGTGACTGCTACAATTCAACCAAAGTTATAGAGTCAGGAAGACAGAATCTCAATCTGCAAATTTTAGGCTCTGGGTGAATGATATCTATAAGGGAAGGGATCCTTGATAAATTAATCTTGTGATAAAACAAGTGGGTGCATGAACAAATAAATCACAATTTGTAGTGTCTTGCCTGAAACTGTAAAAATAGCCTGTTTTTCTTTTGTTTTTCTTCTTTTAATTTTTCTTCTCTTTTTGGGTTTTGTTTTAACTTAATTGACATGGAGGCATTGGAGTGAGACCTTGGTGCTTGGTGACGAGGTGGCTGATGAGCTGGGCAGAAATCTAGCACTTAGCAGCTTTGAGACATCGTCGAGGCCTAGAGCAGTTGGCAGTGAGGCAGCTGGTGAGAGGGACTCTGGCAGTTGGCAGCGAGATGGCAGTGTGGAGGAGATTGGACCCAGCACAGAGGAGGGTGTGGGGAGAGCCCAGTGTGGAGTGTCTGCATGCCCATGGCTAAAGAATGTCAGTAATGCTGAACTTTTAACATATTTCTTTCTTTTTCACTTTGTACCTTTGTATCTAAGATGGCACCAAGAATCGTCAATAGGCACACTTTTCACCTTGTTCCTGTACTTCTGTTCTTGACTACATGTGACAATAAAGCCGAATTCCAGTTCTGACAAATGGACAACCTTGCCTGTGGTGAAGGCATAACACCCAACATGCAACACTAGCATTTATAATATACGCACCAACCTCTGATTGGGTGTGCAGCAGATGACAATTGGCTAAAGAGATTTGTGCACATGCCACTTGTGTATCAGCAGCAGGCAGAGTGGGCAGATCAATTAGTGTGCAATGCTGTCTTGACACTAATGCTGCAATTTTCAGGGAGCAAAGATCCAGTCTATGCTTTCTCTTAACCTTGCATAACTGAACACAATGTCAAACAGCATAAAAGATATCCACCAGCACTATTCTGCTGGATTGTTCATTCTCACTGCAGGTGTATTTGCTTTTGGAGTGACACTTGTTTAAAAATTCAGTAGTTTATAGGAGGTATTTTGGCTGTTGCTGCAGTATTTAGTTTCACTGATGTTTTCGGCTCTTGTTTAATGAGCTGACTTCTTGACAGGGTTATTGGCCCAGCAGATCTTCCCTTTAAGATTGAGCATGAGTGTAAAAATGAGGAGGGGGCACACAGAGCAGGCCAAGCTGCTAGAAGAGCAGTGAGTAAGAATGGGAGATGGTCTCCTCATGTTTTGATGGTCTTCGGAGGGCAGTTCTCCTCTCTCAACTTCAGCAATGTCCTGTACATGACATGTCTTCTTCATTTCAAGAGGTAACTGAAACCTGCCATTCGTGAATCCAGTTCAGAACAACACACAGTCCATTTTGCCTGTGACTGTCAAAGTGTGTATTCTGTGGATTTTTCAGTCTATTGCTGGAGACTTGCACATCTATTGCAGGGAGACCAGCTGTGGAGTGACATCAAGAACCACAGCTTGATGCAAGCACCAGGAATGAAGCTTATTGGTGAGCAGGATTAATGATTATTTCTAGTCTTTCAGAGGGTTGTGAATCTGTGTATATTCAGACAGGTTTTTGATTAGTAAGGAAATCAAGGAGTTGGGCAAATGGCAGGAAACTGGAGTTGAGGATTATCAGATCAACCATGATCTCATTGTATGGGAGAGTAAACTCAATGGGCTGAATGGTGTGCTCTTGCTGCTGTGTCTTTGGTCGTAAAAGAGTAGTAACTGCCTGATGTCCAGCTTTATATTTATGTGAGAGAAACTCATGAGCTGTGACCTCAGCAGCCTGTGGAAGGAGTGTTTAGGTTGATGGATTTTCGGTGCACTCTCATTCTTGATTTTTTCCCAGGATGACGAATTTCCGTTCTGTGGGTAGGTTGAAGAGGTTGAAACTGGTCTTCTTGGTGAGGAGAATGTTGAGCAGAGATTTGATAGAAAAGTTCAAAATAATAGTGTTTGGACAGAGTGCACGGGATGAAACGGCTGTCATTGCCGGAGGGATCAAGGCCCTGAGGACCCAGATTGAAAGCAATCTGTGAAAGAAACGATGGTGACACGAAGAGAAACTTTATCCTCAGTGAATGGTCAGTATCTGGAAGGTATTGCCCGGGTGTAGGGATGGAACAGGGCCAATGGAGTCGTCAAAAGGGAAATTACATCAAGATCTGAAATTAGCAGAGCAACAAGTGAAAGGCACTAGGTGAATTGGTCCTTCAGAGAGTCAGAACAGATACAATGGGTCGAGTGGCTGCCTCCTGTATTTCACTCAATGATTCTACTATATACTTCTGAGTGCCCTCCTACCTGTTTGAGGAGGCGATGCCCCAGTGGTATTATCACTTGACTATTAATCCAGAAACTCAGCTAATGTTCTCGAATGAGATTTCGAATCCTGCCAAAGCAGATGTTGCAATTTTAATTCAATAAAAACATCTGGAATTATGATTCTACGGATGACAATGAAACCATGTTGCTTGGTGGAAAACTCCATCTAGCTCACTGATATCATTCAGGGATGGAAATATGCCGTCCCTATCCTGTCTGGCTTTTATGTGATTCCAGAGGCACAACAATGTGGTTGAACCTCAACTGCCCTCTGAACTGCACCCAGTTCAAGGGCAGCAAGGAGTCAGCAATAAATTTTGGCCAGCCAACGACACCCACATCCCATGAGAGAATAAAAAAAAATAGGCTGTGACCTCCCTCTGCAATATAGAGTCATAGAGATCCACAACATTAAAAGAGGTCTTTTGACGCAACTTGCCCATGATGCCCAGTTTTCACGATTAAACTGGTCCCATTTGCCTGTTTTTGGTCAACATCTCTCCATACCTATCCGATCCATGTACCTGTCTCAATGTTTCTTCAATGACAAAATTGTACTCTTTTCAACCACTACCGCTGGCAGCCCATTCTAGACACTCACCACCTGGTGAGTGAAAAAATTCCCACTCTGGACCCTTTAGTATGTATCCCCTCACTTTAAATCTGTGCCCTCTAATTTTATACTCTCTGACCGTGCGGAAAAGCGGTTGGCTCTCCACCTTATCTATGCTGCTTATGATTTTATAGACCTCTATCAGGTCACCTCTCAGTCTGCTACACTCCTGGGAAAAAGGTCCCAGCCTATCCAACCTCCCATTATTCAAAACTTCCAGTCCAGGAAGAATTCCAGTAAATCTTTTCTGTACTCTTTCTAATTTAATAGTATCCTTTCTATGGATGGGCAACTGGAACTGCACCAATATTCCAAATGTGGCCTCACTAATGTCTTGTACAGATGCAACAGGATGTCCTAACTCTTGTACTCAATGCTCTGACCAATGAAAGCAAGCATGCCCAAAGCTTTCTTCACCACCCTGTCTATTTGTAACTCCAATTTCAAAGAACTACGAACCTGTACTCCCAGATGTCATTGTTCTGTAACACTCCCCAGGTTAAGATTTTGTTTCTTTCCCGTTCTCACAGGACATGGTAATGTTGGAGATATTTGTTTTGCTTGTTGCCTTGTATCAGGCTGTTTATGGTGCGGGAAGCAGTCTGTGTTCTGTTGCTGTGAGCTGCAGTGAGAGCAATGTGTCACTCTGTGAAAGAGATGCTGAGAGGTCCACGAGCTGGAGCAGAGCCTCTGTGAACATCTCCCCCTCTGACTCTGCCTTTCGCTGTGCTCCAGATGCACTCAGTCTGTTTTCTCAGCACATTCAGCTGTTACAGAACAGCTGCTTAATATGCACACACACCCACTCCAGCCGATTGGCACAGTCTGTTTGTAAACTGATGCTGGGATCACACTGCATGGTCAATCATTTGCAATGAAGAGGTTGCACATTGTCCAACAGGAAGGGGAACATTTCGGAGCTATGTAAGCACCAGCAATGCTATTTGATCACCTCACCAAACAACTGGGCAAACCGAGGCAGGGCCCCTGGGGCTGGATGGTGAAAACGTTCTTAGAAAGGAAGAGTAGATTGTTGGAGGTGAATGCTGTCAAACTGTGTGACATTCAGCCTGAGAGTGTGGTGCTGGAAGTGGGATTTGAACCAGGGCTCGGTTTGCAGGAAGCTGCTAAACGCCTTACACTGCCCAAGGGAAAGCTGTACGGGCTGGATTACTCCGAGTACATGTATCATGTAGCCAGCAGGAGGTTGCAACCTGATATTCAGACAGGGAAGGTGACACTGTTTCACGGCAGTGTGGAACAAATCCCTCTGGAAGACAACGTGGTGGACAGAGTGTTTCACTGCAACTGTTACTACTTCTGGCCGACTCTGCAATCGGGTTGCAGAGAGATTTACCGAGTTATGAAACCAGGTATAGTACTGAGCTGATCAATTCTGACAAATCCTAAAGCTTGAAGGGAAATGGTGCTGTCAGAATGGAATGGAGGGGTCAAATATCACAACACTGATGCATTAATCTTTCACTGATTGACATGTCACTGATTATCCTGGGAGTCAAGCACTGATTAAATGAACAAGGTCACATGAACCAGGTTGTAGTCCAACAGGTTTATTTGAAGTCACAAACTTTCATAGCACAGCCCGTTCATCCGATGAAGTGAGGGAGAAGCACACAGAAAATAGAATTTATCAGCAGAGTGATCAAGGGCAGACAGATCAAAAGGTCATACAAATGGTGTGAATGGAGTGTCAAATAATAAAGCCCTGCAGGGGATCTGAAGTGTTAGACGGTGTGAGGAAAGTGTCAACAGCTGAATAACAAGCAAAAGGATGACCTATAATATGATTAAATGAGGCAGAGAGATAATTACAAAAAATTAAAAATAAGGTGGTGCTGGAGACAAACCAAATGACTGTTCTCTGTAACCAGGATCAAGAGTCCCGAAGACTGTGTTGCCTTTTTGGTGCTCGGGTTCAGGATATCTAATCTGGGCTGCAGAGGAATTTGGAGTGGAGGGGAAAGATCCAGTTGTCATGGTCACATAGGTACCAACGACGCAGATAAAACTAGGGCAGAGGTTCTCCTAAAGGAGTATGAACAGCTAGGAGCTAAATTAAAAAGCAGAACCAAAAAAGTAATAATCACTGGATTACTATCTAAGCCAAGAGCTATTTGGTAGTGTCAGTAAGACTAAGTAGGTAAACACCTGGCTTAAAGAAATGGGTTTGAATCCATGGAACATTGGCACCAGTACTGGGGAAGAATGGACCTGTTCCAATGGGACAGTCTTCACCTGAACCAGGCTGGGACCAGAGTCCTAGCGAATCACATAACTAGGTCTGTAGACAGGGCTTTAAACTAAATGGGGAGGAGGATTCAGTTATAGGGGAAATTAGAGAACCCAAATTAAAGGAGGAGATAAGAGGGCAAGTTAGATATGTGATGGATGATTACCAGATAATAAAGGATTTAGATAAGAGTGGGGAAATTTACCAGTTGAACTAATTTAAAAACTTGGATTCAAAATGCTTGAAGCATTCAAAACAAAATTCATGAGTTAATGGCGCAAACAGAAACAAAAGAGGACGATTGGGTAGCGATTACTGAGACATGGTTACAAGGAGACCAGGTCTGGGAATTGAATATCGAAGGCTCATCAGCATTTCGGAAAGATCGACTAAGAGGAAAACAAAGTGGTGTAGCTTTGCTGGTGAAGGAAGGGATCAGTGCTGTAATGAGAAATGACCTTAGCACGGGAGATCAAGATGTGGAATCAGTCTGGGTAGAAATAAGAAATAACAAAAGGAAGAAGTTTTTCGTAGGTGTAATCTATTGGCCCCCAAACAGTAGTTCTGCAACGGGGCACTTTATAAACCCAGGAAATATTAGAGGCTTGCAAGAAAGATACGGCAATAATCATGGTGATTAATGATTTTAACATGCCCATAGATTGGAAGAACCAAATTGGCAAGGGTAGCCTGGAGGCAGAATTCATTGAATATATTAGAGGTTGTTTCTTGCAGCAGAATGTTGGAGAACCAACCAGGGAGCAGGCTATTCTGGATTGGGTATTGTTTAATGAAGAGAGATTAATTGATGACATTATAATTAAGAATCCTCTGGGGAGTAGTGACCGTAGATTGATAGAATTCAAAATTCAGGTTGGGTGTGAGAAATTGGAGTCCCACAGTAGTGTTCTGGAATTAAACAAAGGAGGTTACATAGGCATTTGGTCCGAGTAGATTGGACAAGGAGGCTTAAAGGTAAAACAGTGGATTAGCAGTGGCAGTTGTTGAAGGAGATACTCAATCCTTTGCAACTAAAATATGTCCCAGTGAGGAAGAAAGATGGTAAGGCGGGTAAAAATCATCCATGGATAAACAAGGAGGTCAAGGACAATATAAAGTCAAAAACTAAGGCATACCATATTGCAAAGGCCAGTGACAGGCTAGAAGATTGGGAGACTTTCACACATAAACAAAGGGATACTAAAAAATTAATGCAAAGAGCTAAGATAAACTACAAAAGAAAACAAACACAAAATATCAAAAAGGACAGCAAAGCTTCTATTAGTATATAAAAGAGAAGAGAGTCGCGAAGGTAAATGTTGATCCCTTAGAAGACCAAACCAGAGGGTTAATAGTGGGGAACACTGTAATTGCAGAGATGCGAAATCAATACTTTGCCTCAGTTTTCACTTTGGAGGACAATAGTACCATTCCTGTTGGAATGGACAGGTCAAAGGCAATAGAAAGGGTAGACCTTGGAACAATCAACATGAATAGGTAAAAGATAATCAGCAAACTATTAGGATTGAGGTTAGACAAGTCCGCTGGGCCTAATAGCCTACATCCTAGGGTATTAAAGGAAGTGGCTGCAGAGGTAATGGACCCATTGGTTACAGTATTCCAAAATTCTCAGGACATGCGAAAGGTTCCAGTGGATTAGAAAAAGGTTAATGTAATACCCTTATTCAAAAAGGAAACGAGGCAATATGTGGGAAATTACAGACCAGCTAGCTTGATATCTGTTGTTGGCAATGTGTTAGAATCAACTGTCAAGGAAGCAATACCAGGACATTTGGAAAGTCAAAACGACATCCATCAGAGTCAGCATGGTTTTATGAAGGGCAGATCTTGCTTGACTAATTTGCAAGAGTTCTTCGAAGATGTAACAAGCAAAGTGGATAATGGAGATCCTGTAGATGTAACATATCTGGACTTCTGGAAGGCTTTTGATAAGGTGCCGCACAGAAGGTTAATTCACAAGTTTGGATGATATGGGACTAGAAGTAATTTGTTAGCTTGGATAGGTGACTGGCTGGTGGACAGAAGACAGAGAGTCGGGATAAATGGGTTTCTTTCTGGATGGCAACAAGTAACAAGTGGGTTGCCACAGGGTTCAGTCCTTGGACCCCAGCTATTTACAATCTACATTAACGACTTGGATACAGGGATAGAATGCTTTCCAGCCAAATTTGCGGACAACACAAAAATAGGCAGGACGGTAAATAGCAATAAGGAAATAAGAACCTCATAAATGGATGTAGATAGGTTAGGAGAGTGGGCCAAAATGTGGCAGATGGTGTTTAATGTGGATGAGTGTGAGTTCATGCATTTTGGTCAGAAAAATGGGAAAGCAACCTACAATCTTAAGGGGGAAAGGCTTCGGGGTACTCCGGTGCAGAGGGATCTGGGTGCCCTCGTTCATGAGTCACTGAAAACTAGGAACCAGATACAACCAGGTAATAAAGAAAGCAAATGGAATTTGGATTTTTTTCTGAAGAAGAACCAGGAAGGCTGACCCTTCTGATGAAGGGTCTAGGCCCAAAACGTCAGCCTTCCTGCTCCTCTGATGCTGCTTGGCCTGCTGTGTTCATCCAGCTCTACACCTTGTTATCTTAAACAAATGGAATGTTGGCTTTTATAGCTAAAGGAACAGAATAGAAACATAAAGTAGTAGTAGTGCAACTATACAAGGCATTGGTGAGATCGCACCTGGAGATTGTGCACAGTTTTGGTGCCCTTAATTGAGGAAAGATGTAGCAGCATTGGAGGCAGTTCAGAGGAGGTTCACTAGATTGACCCCAGAGATGAGGGGTTTGTTGTTTGAAGAGAGATTGAACAGTTTAGGCCTACACTGTCTGGAATTTAGAAGAATGAAGGGAGGTCAAATTGAGATATTCAAGATGATTAAAAGTATAGATAAAATAGATGTGGAGCTCCCTCTTGTGGTGCATTCAAGAATGAGACGTCTTAGCATAAGGAGTAACAAATCTACAACAGAATAGAGGAGAAACTACTTCTCCCACAGGGTTGTGAATCTGTAGAATTCGCAACCCCAACATACGGTGGATGCTGGGACAGTGAGTAAATTTAAGGAGGAGTTAGACAGATTTTTAATTGGTAATGGGTTGAAGGATTATGGGGAGAAGGCGGGAAAATAGGGGTGCGGAGCATATGAACCCTGATCAAATGGCAGAGCAGACTCGATGGGCCAAAATACCTAATTCTGCCCCTACCTCTTATAAACTTATGAAAAACGAAAGAACTGCGGATGCTGTAAATCAGGAAACAAAACAGAAATTGCTGGAAAAGCTCAGCAGGTCTGGCAGCACCTGTGAAGGAAAAAACAGAGTTAATGTTTGGGGTCCTCAGGAAGGGTCACCAGACCCGAAACATTAACTCATCTTATGGACTTACGACAGGAATAACATGATGGGTATAAGTATCGCATGTTGAGGGTCTAACCAAGGTAATAAGTAATTCAAAACTGTACAAACTCATTAGAGTGATCAAATTGAATGATTATGGAGAGAAGGCAGGAAAATGGGGGTGCGGAGCATATGAACCATGATCAAATGGCAGAGCAGACTTAATTGCCTAATTCTGCCCCTATTTCTTAAGAACTTATGACTGGAATAACATGATGGTTATAAGTGTTGCATGCCGAGGGCCTAACCAAGGTAATAAGTAATCCAAAACTGTACAAACTGATTAAGGTAGAGAGATTGTAAGAATTTATCCAGGTGGTGGGAACAAAATAGGATAGTAAGGAAGATTTTATAGATACAGAGCACTGTGGTGGGGTCACACGTAATGCAACATCAACCCAAAATCACGGTTGCAGCCGTCTTCATGAATCTGGAAACTGGCTGTCAGTTACTGCTCTGCGATTCCGTGTTGTTCTGTATCTCGAAGGCTGTCTTGGAGGATGCTTACCCGTAGATTGGAAGCTGAATGTCCTTGACCGCTGAAGTGTTCTCCACCTGGGAGGGACCATTCCTCTCTGTTGATTGTTGTGTGGTGTCCATTCATCCGTTGTTGTAGCGTCTGCATGGTCTCACCAATATACCATGCCTCGGGGCATTCTTGCCTGCAGTGTATAAGGTAGACAACTTTGGCCGAGTCACATGAGTATTAGCCATGTACATGTTGGGTGGTGTTCCCATGTGTGATGGTGGTGTCCATGTCAATGATCTGGCGTGTCTTGCAGAGGTTGCCGTGACAGGGTTGTGTGGTGCTGTGCTCAATGTTGTCCTGAAGGCTGGGTAGTTTGGTGCAAACGATGGTCTGTTTAAGGTTTGCCAGTTGTTTGAAGGTGAGAATTGGAGGTGTGGGGATGATCTTGGCGAGATGCTTGTTGTCATCGATGACATGTTGAAGGCTGTGAAGAATATGGCATAGTCTCTCTGTTCTGGGGAAGTACTGGATGATGAAGGGTACCCCATCAGTCGTATCCTGTGTCTGTCTTCTGAGGCGGTTGTTATGGTTTTTCGCTGTGGCATGTCGGAACTGGGCCAATGTTGTCTATCTCATACGCTGTAGGCAAGGATGCCCCAAAGCATAGTATGCTGGTGAGAACATACAGACGCTATGACAATGGGTGAATCAACACCATACAACAATCGCCAGACAGGAATGGTCCCTCCCAGTTGGGGAACACTTCAACAATCAAGGACATTCAGCTTCTGATCTTCGAGTAGGCAAAGATATACAGCGAGATATACAGCGACACAGAATCGCAGAGCAGAAATTGATAGCCAGGTTCCATATCCATGAGGATGGCCTCAACAGTGATCTTAGGTTCGTGTCGCACTATACGTGACCCCACCACAGTGTTTTGTTTCTGTAAAATCTTCCTTACTGTCCTGTTTTGTCACCATCACCTGGATAAATTGTTCTGATCTCTCCACCTCAATTAGTTTGGATTACTTATTAACTTGGTTAGACCCTTGGCATGAGATGGTTATACTTGTCGTGTTATTCCAGTCATTTGGCTTGTGTCCAGGATCACCTTATTTTTAAATTGTTGTAATTATCTCTCTGCCTCATTTAATTGGATTATAGATGATCCCTTTGCTTGTTATTCAGCTGTTGACACTTTACTCTCACCGTCTAAAGCTTCAGATCATCTGCAGGGACTTATTATTCAACACTCCATTCACACCATTTGTATGATCTTTTGATCTGTCTGCCCTTGATCTCACTGCCAATAAATTCTGTGTTCTGCGTGCTTCCCTCTTACTTCACCAGATGAAGGGGCTATGCTGTGAAAGGTTGTGATTTCAAATAAACCTGTTGGACAATAACCTGGTGTCGTGTGACTTCTGACTTTGTCCATCCCAGTGCAACACCAATACCTCCACATCCAGATTAAATGACTATTTAGAGAGTCTACATTAGCTAGACAGGGCCCTGAACCAATTGTGCGCTCTTTATAGAACCAAGAAGGACAGGACCATTATTTATGGCCCATTCCCGCAACCTCCCCGTCTGTCATCCAGATCATGCACTCACCACCCTGACCAGCAGCCACAGATTCTCCTAGAGAGGCAAGAGATTTTTTGAAAAAACAAACCAGGTCAATAGTTATACAATC